TAGGCCACGACTACATCACATTGTCTGGTTCTGCTCTCTTAGCTATACCTCGGTACCTCTTGTCACAAAAATTGTCATATTTACTAATGCTACAACTGTCAGGTCTCTCTGCATTTCTCAGTTCTAGATCAGAGTTCATGATTTTGACTTGAATCTTTTAGTTACAGCATTGACAGGCTAAGGAAAAGAGATAGAGAGAGATAGAGGGGGGGGCATGGGGAGAAGAGAAAGGGAGGGGGGGCATGGGGAGAAGAGATACTAGGGAGAGAATGAAGAGGGGGGTATGGGGAGAAGAGATACTAGGGAGAGAATGAAGAGGGGGGGGGCATGGGGAGAAGAGATACTAGGGGAGAGAATGAAGAGGGGGGCATGGGGAGAAGAGATACTAGGGAGAGAATGAAGAGGGGAGGGGTAGGGATGTGAGGAGAGAGAAATGAGGGGACTACAGGTGTTAGCGGTACTGCATGGGAGCCAGACAGAGCGTATTACTGGAGAGAGAGAGAGAGAGAGAGAGAGAGAGAGATTAGTGATAAATGATTAGATGAAAGGAATGGATAATTAAAGAGACAATTGAATCATACGGGCATTTTGATGAAGGAGATGACGAAGAGTGATAAAGGGTGTGATGAAAGGATGGATAATAAGCAGAAGATGAAATTATAAAGGCTTTGGGCTTGGATAGAAAAGGAAAGGGAGGTGATAAAAGAGAAGGATAGGAGAGGGAACAGGTGATAATGGAGTGTGTGTGTGTGTGTGTGTGTGTGTGTGTGTGTGTGTGTGTGTGTGTGTGTGTGTGTGTGTGTGTGTGTGTGTGTAATCCGACGTATCGTGGTGACTCAGCTTGGGCAACCCTGTAGAGGGTGAGAAATATAGAGAGAGAGAGAGAGAGAGAGAGAGAGGAGAGTTTTGCTGTGTATCGCATTGTAATAATTGTTCCCTCTCTCTCTCTAACCTGTCTTCCTTCCTCCTGTGTTTATTATCCCTTTCTCATATATTCTTTTCTTGTATAATTTTCTCTTTATCTCCGACTACGTGTCCTCAGCCTAATATCCGCTTCTAATGATCTGACTGATCGACCATCTTACGAGTGACTCTCTCTCTCTCTCTCTCTCTCTCATTAATTTCTCCTCCTCCATATTCTCCTCTGCCTGTCTCTCCTCATTCTCATCCACACCCCTCTCTTCCCTTTAGTCTCTCCTCCATTTTTCTACTCTCTCATCTTCCTCCGTCCCTTCCCACTCTTTGTCGCTTTTCCACCACCTTACGCTCCTTCCCTCCTCACCTCACCGCTCCTTCCCTTCCTCTTCACCCTCACCCCACGCCTCCCACTCTCATGTGGGGTAATAAGGTAGGGCTGGGTACTTGTGACTGTGTGGCGATATTTTGATCCCTGCAGTACCTTTTTTCCCCCGAGGAAGGAAAGGCTGTTCCGGGGAGAGGTAGGGAAGGAGAGGGGGGAAAGGAAGAGGCAAGAGGAGGGTGGGGTGAGAATGGAGGTTTGAGAGAAGCAGGGGTGGTGGGGGTGATGGTGGTGTTTTTAGTTTAACAAATTTATTGACAAAGCTTGTAGTACAGTTTGCCTATTCTGAGTAATTCAGTCAGGTCTTGACACTGAGGGTGGAATCACGTCTCACTGCCACAGGGCAGAGGTTCATACACAATGAAATACATCATATTCATTAACAGCTATATATATATATATATATATATATATATATATATATATATATATATATATATATATATATATATATATATATATATAGGTCAGATTCATGTGGGTAATGCCACTGTTCACTGCCACATCACATTCACCAGCAGTATATATAGGTCACATGGAGTCATATTATAATTGAAGACTAATCAGTGTGGGTTAGCAAATTTGGGATAAACAGCAAGAATGTCCTCAAGCACACCTGATTCAATGTAGTAATTACGAAGTTCAAGATACAATAAGTAAGGTGGCCTGAAGTCATTGACAGTGTCACATTCAATAATATAGTGTTCAAGTGTATGCTTTAGAGGTTTATCACAAAGTTTACATGCTGAGTGTTCCGGTATGGGTACAGCGTTACTAACTTGCCAGATGTGTCTGTATCCTAGCCTAATTCTGGCCACGACTACATTACTTGTCTGGTTCTGTCCTTAAGCTGGCCATACCGGTACCTCTTGTCGAGGGTATTGATGGAGGAAAGAGAGAGAGAGAGTCAGACAGACGTGCATTGTTTGTGTTCCGGGAAGTAGTTCGGTTTTAGGCCAGTGTGTTATTCATATTATTCAGGAGGCGACGCTGTAGGAAGAGTAGGAGTAGCAGCAGGAGGAGGAACAAGGGGTAGAGAGGAAGGCCTTCGTGTGTTCCTCATAACTGAAGGTAAACAATGTTGAGGTTGATGGAGGGAAATAAGGGGAAGGGGGTGGGGGGGGGGTTTGTTTACATTGAGGGAAAGATGGATAGTGGTGTTGAGCAAGATAGGAGCGGAGGGAGGGAGGGAGGGTTAGGAAGTAGGTAGGGAGGGTATTTATTTAAGGGAGGGAGATTGTGTTTGTTGGTTCCCATAAAGACAGAATAAATATTGTTGACGTTGTTGTGGTGGTGGAGGTGAGGTTAACTGTAGTCTTTTGTGTCTCTCTCTCTCTCTCTCTCTCTCTCTCTCTCTCTCTCTCTCTCTCTCTCTCTCTCTCTCTCTCTCTCTCTCTCTCTCTCTCTCTCTCTCTCTCTCTCTCTCTCTCGTCTCGGGATGGGTGGCGCAGAAACCATAACCACTTGTAAGTCTATTTTTATATTTGTTCATAAATATTGCACCACAGAACCCATTTTGTCCTTGTGCCCAAAATAATCACTTTCTACTTTTCCATCTTGAAATTCTGATGATGAAATTTGAGATATCTGTTTTTATGTACAGGACTAATATTAACCTAACCTAACCTAACCTAACCTAACTTCTTTAACCTAACCTAACCTAACTTTAACCTAACCTAACTTAACCTAACCTAACCTAACCTAACCTAACCTAACTTAACCTAACCTAACCTAACTTAACCTAACCTAACCTAACCTAACCTAATCTAACCTAACCTCACCTAACCTAACCTCACGTAACCTAACCTCACCTAACCTAACCTAACTTAACCTAACCTAACCTAACCTAACCTAACTTAACCTAACCTAACTTAACCTAACCTAATCTAACCTAACCTCACCTAACCTAACCTAACCTCACATGACCTAACCAAACACGACATTATTATAGTATACATGTATGTACACTTGTTCCTATTTTTTTCTCAACCCTAAAATAGCTAACTTTCTTTTTCCCCCTTTTTTTTCCATTTAGTTTCCTTGGTAAAAGTTAAATGGACTATGACAGTGAAAAGAAAAGGGCAACAAATTCTGTGTGGCGGGTGAGGGTAGTGGAGCCGAGGGGAAATGACAGCAATAACTGGGTGAGGGGAAAGCCGTCCACTCACTCCCCTCGTCACCAGAAGATAAACAACACAAACAAATACAGGTCATCGTCCCCTACCCTACCCTACCCTGCCCTACCCTACCCTACCCTACCCTACCCTGCCCTACCCTACCCTATCCCTCCTGTTGTTATGGAAGTTAGACAGTGTGGGATGACTTTATTAGTGCTATGGGGAGATGGATAGATGGATGGATGGATGGATGGAGCCAGTGGTAGTGTGGGGTGATTTTATTATAGTCATGGGGAGATGGATGAGTTGGTGGATAGATGGATCTGGTTAGGTATAGTGTGGGATGTGACTCTATTAAACTGACTAGGAATTCGATGGATTGATGGAGATAGATAGATAGATAGATAGATAGATAGATAGATAGATAGATAGATAGATGAGGTTACTGCAACACAACATTGGGTTTATTTACAGGAACAAGACATAAAGGTTCTCAGGTGAGCCTCCTTTTACCTGTTGAGCAGCTCTTTAAATTGTCCATCCAGTTGGTCCCCTAAAGCAGTGTTGCCCCTCCTCCTCCTACCCCCCTTCCTTCCTCCTCCTCCTTCCCCTTCCTTCCTCCTCCTCCCCCCCTTCCTCCTCCTCCTCCTCCTCCTCCTCCTCCTCCTCCTCCTCCTCCTCCTCCTCCTCCTCCTCCTCCTCCTCCTCCTCCTCCTCCTCCTCCTTCCTTCCTCCTCCTCCTCTCTGACAGGTCTTTTGTTACAGCTGTTTGAGGGCCGCTGTGTCAACAAGGACCTGGTGAACCACAGTGTATGCAGAAGTAGTGTTTTTTTGTTTTTATTTGCTGATTTCTGTTTGCTCGTCTCTCGTGGTTAGCTACTGTAGGGGTCTCGTGTGTGTGTGTGTGTGTGTGTGTGTGTGTTCTCTTAGATAGGGATGTAAAGACGTAATTAAATGACTTGACTTGACCTAAGACGCCAAATTAATCCCCCTAAAATGATATGAAAATTACTACACCGTGACTCAACTATAACTTGATACAGTACGTTCACTTGGTACCAGTTTGGGGAGAGGGACACACAATTATGATAGAGAATCTTTGTGAATCTAGACACTGACTCTCAAAAGTATCGTAAGTTGGGAATTTTTATCGTAAATCGGAACGTAAGGTGAGAATCTATACCTGGCCCTTTTAATTAAGCTAAAACACAAAATTAACGACCCAATTGTTATCGGAATTACCCTCTATGAGACAATCTTAAGTAGGTGGCTTTACTTAACACAAGTTAGGGCACAGAATTAACGGGGTCACCGGAAGATTGGGTTAAGTTAGGTTAGGTTAACATTTGGGTGGTTAATCTGAAGGTGAAATGAGCTGGGGGAGGAATCTTCAGGTGATACGAATTAAACGAACAAAGTCTTCGTGTACCCTCTCCCGCATCCAGGGGTTCTTGCGGCACCTCTGTTCTTCCCTCCTGCGGCACTCACTTTGTCTCGTTTCCGCCACGCATCGTCGGTCATCTCATTTTCAGGAGTTGACTTGAGAGTTTTGTGAGAGGTGATATTGTTGAGGGTGGAGCCTTTTATTGTTGGGGGTAGGGTGTGGTGGTGGTGGTGGTGATAGTCCTGATGGTGGCGGTGTGTGTGGTGGTGGTGGTGATAGTCCTGATGGTGGCGGTAGTGGTGGCGGTGTGTGTGTTGTGATAGTGGCGGTCCTGGTAGTGGGGGATGGTGATAGTCCTGATGGTGATAGTACTGTTGGTGGTAGTGGTGGTGGTCGTGTTCTTCACCATTTTATTGGTTAACTCCAGCAGGTAAACAGCCCTGGTAAGCGATACACCACAACAAGTCTCCGATGAGTTTCAATTTCAATATTTTTCTGTCTACACGGTGCAGGGTTAATGGTTCAGAGTCGTGGTGCTGTGGTTAAGTGGCGCTGTGGTTGAGTGGTGCTGTGGTTGAATGGTACTGTGGTTGAGTGGTGCTGTGGTTAAGTGGTACTGTGGTTGAGTGGTACTGTGGTTGAGTGTTGCTGTGGTTGAGTGGTGCTGTGGTTAAGTGGTACTGTGGTTAAGTGGTACTGTGGTTGAGTGGTGCTGTGGTTGAGTGGTGCTGTGGTTAAGTGGTGCTGTGGCTGTGGTTAAGTGGTGCTGTGGTTAAGTGGTGCTGTGGTTGGTGGTGCTGTGGTTGTGGTTGTGGTGTGGTGCTGTGGTTGAGTGGTGCTGTGGTTGAGTGGTGCTGTGGTTAAGTGGTGCTGTTGTTAAATGGTGCTGTGGTTAAGTGCTGTGGTTGAGTGTTGCTGTGGTGCTGTGGTTGCTGTGGTTGAGTGGTGCTGTGGTTGGTGGTGCTGTGGTGTGGTGCTGTGGTGAAGTGGTGCTGTGGTTGAGTGGTGCTGTGGTTAAGGAAGTGGTGCTGTGGTTGAGTGGTGCTGTGGTACTGTGGGTGAGTGGTGCTGTGGTGGTGAAGTGTGACTGTGGTTGAGTGGTGCTGTGGTTGAGTGGTGCTGTGGTTGATGTGGTGCTGTGGTTGAGTGGTGCTGTGGTTAAGTGGTGCTGTGGTTGGAGTGGTGCTGTGGTTGCTGTGGTTGGTGGTGCTGTGGTTAAGTGGTGTGGTTGAGTGCTGTGGTTGCTGTGGTTAGAGTGGTGCTGTGGTTGAGTGGTGCTGTGGTTGAGTGGTGCTGTGGTTAAGTGGTGCTGTGGTGGTGCTGTGGTTAGTGGTGCTGTGGTTGGTGGTGCTGTGGTTAAGTGGCAGTGGTGAGTGGTGCTGTGGTTAAGTGGTGCTGTGGTTGAGTGGTGCTGTGGTTGTGGTGGTGCTGTGGTTGGGTGGTGCTGTGGTTGAGTGGTGCTGTGGTTAAGTGGTGCTGTGGTTTGGTGGTGCTGTGGTTTAAGTGGTGCTGTTAAGTGGTGCTGCTGTGGTTGAATGGTACTGTGGTTGAGTGGTGCTGTGGTTAAGTGGTACTGTGGTTGAGTGGTACTGGGTTGAGTGTTGCTGTGGTTGAGTGGTGCTGTGTTATGGTACTGTGGTTAAGTGGTACTGTGGTTGAGTGGTGCTGTGGTTGAGTGGTTAAGTGGTGCTGTGTTTGAGTGGTGCTGTGGTTGAGTGGTGCTGTGGTTGAGTGGTGCTGTGGTTGAGGTGGTACTGTGGTTGAGTGGTGCTGTGGTTAAGTGGTGCTGTGGTTGAGTGGTGCTGTGGTTGAAGTGGTGCTGTGGTTGAGTGGTGCTGTGGTTATGGGTGAGTGGTGCTGTGGTTATGGCTGTGGTTGATGGTCTGTGGTTGAGTGGTGCTGTGGTTAAGTGGTACTGTGGTTGAGTGGTACTGTGGTTAAGTGGTACTGTGGTTGAGTGGTACTGTGGTTGAGTGGTGCTGTGGTTGAGTGGTGCTGTGGTTAGTGGTACTGTGGTTGAGAGTGGTGCTGGTGGTTATGGTGCTGTGGTTGAGTGGTGCTGTGGTTGGTGGTACTGTGGTTGAGTGGTGCTGTGGTTGAGTGGTGCTGTGGTTAAGTGGTGCTGTGGTTGAGTGGTGCTGTGGTTAAGTGGTGCTGTGGTTGAGTGGTACTGTGGTTGAATGGTACTGTGGTTGGTGGTGCTGTGGTTAAGTGGTACTGTGGTTGAGTGGTACTGTGGTTGGTGTTGCTGTGGTTGAGTGGTGCTGTGGTTAAGTGGTACTGTGGTTAAGTGGTACTGTGGTTGAGTGGTGCTGTGGTTGAGTGGTGCTGTGGTTAAGTGGTGCTGTGTTTGAGTGGTGCTGTGGTTGAGTGGTGCTGTGGTTGGTGGTGCTGTGGTTGAGTGGTACTGTGGTTGAGTGGTGCTGTGGTTAAGTGGTGCTGTGGTTGAGTGGTGCTGTGGTTAAGTGGTGCTGTGGTTGAGGTGGTGCTGTGGTTGAGTGGTGCTGTGGTTAAGTGGTGCTGTGGTTTGGTGGTGCTGTGGTTAAGTGGTGCTGTGGTTGAGTGGTGCTGTGGTTAAGTGGTGCTGTGGTTAGTGGTACTGTGGTTGAATGGTACTGTGGTTGAGTGGTGCTGTGGTTAGTGGTACTGTGGTTGAGTGGTACTGTGGTTGAGTGTTGCTGTGGTTGAGTGGTGCTGTGGTTAAGTGGTACTGTGGTTATGGTACTGTGGTTGAGTGGTGCTGTGGTTGAGTGGTGCTGTGGTTAAGTGGTGCTGTGTTTGAGTGGTGCTGTGGTTGAGTGGTGCTGTGGTTGAGTGGTGCTGTGGTTGAGTGGTACTGTTTGAGTGGTGCTGTAGTTAAGGGTGCTGTGTTGAGGGTGCTGTGGTTAAGTGGTGCTGTGGTTGATGGTGGTGCTGTGGTTAAGTGGTGCTGTGGTTGAGTGGTGCTGTGGTAAGTGGTGCTGTGGTTGAGTGGTACTGTGGTTGAGTGGTGCTGTGGTTGAGTGGTGCTGTGGTTAAGTGGTACTGTGGTTGGAGTGGTACGTGTTAGGTACGGTTGAGTGGTACTGTGGTTGGAGTGGTGCTGTGGTTGAGTGGTGCTGTGGTTAAGTGGTACTGTGGTTAAGTGGTACTGTGGTTGAGTGGTGCTGTGGTTGAGTGGTGCTGTGGTTAAGTGGTGCTGTGGTTGAGTGGTGCTGTGGTTGAGTGGTGCTGTGGTTATGGTGCTGTGGTTGAGTAATGTTTTGGTTTGAGAAGGAGAAATAAATTGTTTTCGTTAGGCTCTCTTCTTTTATATCATTAATTCCTGTCATTCTTTACCAGTTATTCTATCCACTTAGTTCTCCTCCTTCTCCTCTTCCCCCTCTCCTCCTCCTCCTCCTAATCTTCCTCTGTTATCGCTGTTCTCTCATTCATTTCTCTTTGTCGTTGTTTACTAGAGCGTGCGTGTGTCTGCCTTACGGAATCATCCACCAATTCCCTCTTATTCCCTCTCACTTCCCTCTCAGTCTCACCCTGCTCTCCTTTCCTTCCTCGTTCACATCATCTTCATTCCCCCTTTCCTTTCCCTCCTCTCCCTTCTTTCTCTTCACACCATTACACTTCTTCCCTCCTCCTCCTCCCTCCGTGTTTCTCCAGGCGGTCCTCCACAGTTCACACTTCTTCCCCCTCTCTCTACCTCCTTCTCTTTGTCCCTCCTTCCTCCTCTTCGTATTGTCCTTTTCTCCTTGACGATCTCCCATACTTGTTATTCCCCAGCACCCCCTCCTCCTTTCCCCCTCTTTCCCCTTGTCTCTTTTTTCCTTCTCCATTCCCCATTCCTCTCGTTCCACTCTTATACCCCTTTCTCTTTGCCTCTCGTTCCCTTGCCCTCTTCCCTCACCTCTCGTTCCCTTCCTTCCCATCCCCTTCCCCTGTCTCTCGTTCCCTGACCTCCGCTCCTACCCTCCACCTCTCTCTGTCCCTTCCTACATTCTCTCCTTGTCTCTCGTTACCTCCTTCACCTCCCCTGCCAGGAGACCCCAGTGAAGGTGATCTTTGCAGGTCACGTCTAGGGGAGAACCATTTTCCTGCCGTCCGTGCAAGGCCACATATTCTTGGACCCACATTATATTATAGACCATCTAGTGTGGCCACATTCTCTGGGTTGATTTTAGGGCCACATTCTCTGCGTTATATTTTTAGCCACATTCTCTGGGTTATATTTTTAGGGCCACATTCTCTGGGTTATATTTTTAGGGCCACATTCTCTGGGTTATATTTTGGGCCACATTCTCTGGTTTTATTTTTAGGGTCACATTCTGCGAACTAGAGTTTCAGGGCTTTATTTTCTGAAATAGTTTCTCTGGGGTTTGAGTATTTTTTATTTTATTTACTAGATACTGAGATTTTGTTTAAGTATATCACATTATCATTATCATCATCATCATCATCATCATCATCATCATCATCATCATCATCATTATTATTATTATTATTATTATTTTATTTTATTATATTATTTATTATTATTATTATTATTATTTTTATTGTTATTATTATTATTTATTATTATTATTGTTGTTGCTGTTGTTGTTAGTACTACAATCAGCGTGTGTCATCAGGGTTTTGTTTTAACTTCTATGTAGAGATTCGAGGCATCCCGTAGTTGCTCTTCAGATTCCTCAAGACAGTGGCGGCATACTGTGACAATATACATATATCAGTTTATTAACGAAAACCATAAATAACGTCAATTCTGGCTGTGTTTATGCAGCCCAGTGCACTCCTTACCCGATCTTACTGATGGATATTTTCCCCCATGAGTAGTGTTTCTCTTTCATCTCAAATAGGGCCTTAACACCTACAGTGACCACCTCTCTCGGGCGGCCACACTCTTGTTATAAGGAATACAGTCGGTGATGGTAGCGAGGGGAGGTTGTTAAGACATGGCATTAACGTAAACCTGTTATGGGGTGAGGGTTTGGCGCTGTTTCAACAAGGATTATCTGCTATCTGTTATCAAAGATTGTTTTATGTACCTGGTTATGAGAAAGTAGTGTGTGTGTGTGTGTGTGTGTGTGTGTGTGTGTGTGTGTGTGTGTGTGTGTGTGTGTGTGTGTTTCATCTGTTAGTAGTTTAAGCTGGGTCTTGGATTAAGAGATGCTTTAACTACACCAGGGTCATTAAACCTCCATTCATTGGGTCTTAGTTTCAGCTGCTTCAACACACACACACAAAAACACTGTTATTACTTATTCTTAGGCAGACTTGTGGGGGCCTGGTTTAGTAATAATAAATAATAATAATAATAATAATAATAATAATAATAATAATAATAATAATAATAATAATAATAATAATAATAATTAATTCGGTTTATTGATTAAAGCTACAGCCGAAGGCTGAAAATATATAGTATATGACAAAAATGACTTATTTCATACAAACCCATGGGTGGGTGGGTCGTTTAACAAAAGACTTTCATTACTGAAAGAAGAAGGAACAATGATTGAACATACAAATTATTAGAGTTTACAGTTGATGGTCCGGGCCTGGACTGGTCATGGAGACACCAGGTGGTGTGGTGTTCACGTGGTGTAGTAACTCGTCCTCGGGTGTTGATATGAAGGACCTCACGTGGTGTGGCGGAGGGAGGGAGGGGAGGGAAGAGGAGAGGAGAAAAAGAGATGGAGAGGAGAAGAGATGAGGGAGAGGGAGGAGAGAGATTAGGGGGACGGGAACAGTAGGAGACCACCTGGATCACCTTGAGGTAGAGTGCACCTGTTGCGTTAATTGTCCCTGGAGTTACCGAAGGATAAGTCTCTATTATTTTCGTGGGCTCTTGGCTCCTCTTACCTTAGCTCCTGTACCGGTGTGATGGTGTGAGTTTATTGTGCTGAAACAACTACTGCTATAGCATACATACATACATACATACATACATACATACATACATACATACATACATACAGATAGATATACATACAAACTATAATAATAGTTACGAGTATAATGATGATAATGAAAACAGATCATAATGGTAATAATGGTAGTCCTGTTATTAGTGTATGGTATAGTATGGTTGACCAGGATATACATAATGTGATGTGTGGTATAACTGTTATGGTAATTGAGATGGTAGAGTATGGTAACTCACATAGTGTATGGTTCCTT